ACTCCAGCCTTGGTGACAGTGTAAGACTCCATCTCAAAAAAAAAAAAAAAAAAAGAAAGAAAGAAAAAGAAAATGCAGTCCAAGAATGACAGTTTGGGGACTTTAAGAGCAGGGAAAGACTCAGCTGAAGAAAATAGAAAATTTCCTCCTTGTATCTGTGGTTAATTTTTTAGCTCTAAGTCTTGTGTGGGGGAGTCTGTGGGTGAGGCTGGGGGTGGAACGGCACTAACCTGGTTCACCCTGCAGACCTGTGCCAGTGGGAAACCAGACTGACAGGAATGTAGTATAATCTATTTTTGGGGTTGATTTGCATATGCAGATGAGATGCAACTATAGGCATGATTAAATTGTTTTGTTGGTGCAGCTGCTAAATATTTGCTTTCTGTCTAGTGCTGGAAAAGTCATTTACATCTTGATAACAACCAAAACATGCATTTCTCAAATCAGATAAATGATTCCTTACACACACACACACACACACACACACACACACACACAGAGCAAAACAAAACAGATGCCATCATTTCCTAACCCTCCCGAAAGTGAACTCTATCTCCCTGGAAGCCCTTTTCCCACCAGGTTTCTGGGCTAGAAGATGAGAGCCCTGGAGCACCCATCATCGAGAACAAGCTGCTCCAAGCCTCCTGCATATTCCCCGGTATACCATTCTTGGCAGGTAAAAAACCTGAAAAAACAGTGACTGGGTACACGTTATTGACGGGGCACTGTTCTCTATGCTTTTGGCATTTTCCCGTGTATTCCTTGCCATCATGTAGGGGGTAGGGAACCGTGATTTTACAGTGAAGATGCTGAGTTAGGTGACTGCCCCACAATCACATAGTCAAGAAGCTGGAGTTTTAATCCAGGTGGGCCGACCGCAGAGCCTGTGCCCTTTGCCTTGGTATCAAGCTGCCTCACATAATAATTCTAATGGAGACCATCTCTTTTCTAACATTCCTTTTTTGGATGCAGAATCCTTTATCCAAGGGGAGTCTTGGCCAAAGCATAAAAGACAACACAGATAGCAGCGGCAGTGTTCTCCCTGAAGCTGGAGTCGGACCCTCCTTCAGTTTTTGTGACTCTGAGTCCTGGGTTCCTAGGGACCCGTGTCTCTTCTGAAGTGGCTCTCCCTGGGATTCAGCTGCTCTTCTTGCTGGCTGATCCTTCTATTAAGTGCAGTCAGTCCTCATAGCCACAGATTTCTTATTTTCGAATGCATCTACTTGCTAACATTTATTCATAATCCCCAAACCAATCCTCAGCGGGCTTTCTCCGCCATTTTGGACACGTGCAGAGCAGGGGGAAGTGTGCGTGACCGACACACGCACCCTCAGCTGCGGGGGAAGCGGGGGCCGCCCTGACTTTTGTTTCTGCTCTCACAGGGTCAAAGAGTGCTTTCCCCCAAGGTCTTGTTAGTGCCACGATTTTTGCACTTTTGTGCTTTTGGTTGGTGATTTTGCCATTTAAAATGGTCCCCAGTGGGTTTAGTGGCAAACACCTGTGGCCTCAGCACTTTAGGAAGCTGAGGCAGAAGGATTGCCTGAGGCCAGGGGTTTGAGGCCAGACTGGGTAATGTAGCAAGACCCCCATCTCTACTAAAACTAAAACATTAGCCAGACTTGGTGATGCAACCCTGCAGCCCCAGCTACTTGGGAGGCTGAGGCAGGAGGGTGGCTTGAGCCGAGTAGTTCAGGCTGCAGTGAGCTATGATCATGTCACTGTACTCCAGCTGGGGTGACAGAGCAAGACCCGGTCTCTAACATTTTTTTAAAAATAATAAAATGGCCCCAAGCATGAGTGCTGGGTGGTTCTCATCAGTGCAGGAGGGCTGTGCCAGGCTTTGCGGAGAAAGTACATGCTGGGTTTCATTCATATGTGAGTGATAGTGTTGTGGGCCATGATTTAATGTGAATGGGTTAATATACACGAAATCAGGTGTATTTGAATAGAAACATGCAAAGGAAGGCAGTGTGCTAACCAGTCGGTGAAAAGTGTTGTCACCTAACCATGTATGTCCCCAAGGAAACCATAGCATTCACCATTACAGTGTTGGTGGTAACTCTGTAAAACATCACTACTATGAATAATGACAACTGACTGAACTCACCCTTTTTTGAGAGCTGCTTATCTGGCAGAGAACGTGCTAGAACCTTATTTAAATGAACCCCACTTCTCAACCCCTAGGTTTAGTATCATTACCCCAGTTTATAGATGGGAAAACTGAGTCCTAAATAATTGGCCAAAGTCACTACACTAGCGAGAGGTGAGGCCACCGCTGAGCGCCATGTGGCACACTGTTCTGTTTCCTTTCCACTAACGCTTTCTTTCTTTCTTCTTTTTCTAGACACAGTGCCCAAGGTGGAGTGCAGTGGCATGGTCATGGCTCACTACTGGCTAATTTAAACAGACTTTCGCAGAGATGAGGCCTCTCTATGTTGCCCAGGCTGGTGTTGAACTTCTGGCCTCAAGTGATCCTGCGTCCTCAGCCTCTGAAAGTGCTGGGATTATAGATGTGAGCCAGAGGCCCGGTGCTGACCACTTGTGTTTACTGGGCTATCCCAGTTTGGCATCTTGTATATTTGAGCCCCTGACTCCCAGCTGGTTTCTTTGGCCATGGGTTGAACACAGTTCTCTCCACATCTCTCTACAGACACTTACAGAAACCTTCCCATCAGCTTTGGGATGGTTACAGAGAGTCAGGAGCTGATGCCCCGACACCTCCACCTTCTCTTCTTCCCTTACCTCCAGCTAGCTTCAGGTAGCCATTGGAGTCAGGATTTCCTTTCTCTCCCTCTCTCTCTTTTTCTTTTTTTTTTGAGATGGAGTCTTGCTCTGTCGATTCTCCCGACTCAGCTTCCCGAGTAGCTGGGACTATAAGGTGCCCGCCACCATGCCTGGCTATTTTTTTTGCATTTTTAGTAGAGAAGGGGTTTCATCATGTTGGCCAGGCTGGTCTCGAACTCCTGACCTCAGGTGATCCACCCGCCTTGGCCTCCCAAAGTGCTGGGATTTACAGGCATGAGCCACTGTGCCCGGCCAGAGTTAGGATTTCCAAATAAAGCAAAATGTCACCTAGCAGGAGAGAGAGAGAAAAAAAAAAAAGCAGAAAAAAGACAAGGAATGGGGACGGGGTAGGCTTCGAGGAGGAAGAGCAAAGGTGGCCAGGATGGGAAGGGAGGGGGCGGCGAGGGGGCGGCGTGGGCTGCTCTGAAGATGCCCCGAAGGGTGGGACCAGAGGAGCCGGCCCTGAGACGTGCCTGTCACTGACACTGGGTCACTCTTTACATTTCAAAAGCATTTTCACATCTCTCGCCATATTCTGGGTGTCACAGTCGCTGTGCGTGGGTGAAGAACACATTCTTTTTTTCTGCTTCACTGATGAGAAAACCGAAGCAGGCGAAGCCGCAGTGATTTGCCCACGGTCACGCAGTGCTAATTTATTCCACATTTGGGACAGGCTATTTCTATCACACAGCAAGATTCAGTTATTGCTTTCCTGATATTTCATTTTTTAAAGCCCATACCATGAGCAGTCTATTAGGGGACAAAGAACTTCTTTATTTCACACTTATACCCTATGACTATTTCAGTATTTTTACTTAACTACAATTTCTCGAATTTCACTGCTCATGTCGAAGCATTTGACTAAAATACAGCAAAACGCCTGTTCCTCTTTCAAGGGGGTCAAATCGTTTTCAGTGGACAGGAGCGTGTCATGTGAGTAAGGATGAAAGCAGCTTTGTTGCACTCTTCTGGGAATTCTTCTAGGGATCTTACTAAAGTCAAGAATAGATCAGAAATGAAGTAAAGATGGGGATGTAAAGAATGGCTTTCATGGAAAATTGAAATCGTTCCTTTTAAAGTGTACAATTTCCACCCTGATCATACATCCCCAACCCTGCATGATGGGTTCTTCCCAGATATGAAGGTGGCTGCAGGGACAGGATTTTGATGCAACTGCGATTGATGTCAGCAGGTCCAGACCGTGATATTTCATGACAAATTTAACAGACGTTTATTAAGTAGATTAAATGGGAACAGCTCCAGGCTAGATAGGGCTGGGGTGGGTACAAAGGGAAGAGGTAATCCGTGAAGGTTGTAGAGGCCAGTTAGGCATTGAAATCCACAGACACAGGTTGCTGTGTGCCTACTTCATGCCAGCCGCTCTTATTTTACGCCGTCATTTCCCGGAAGCCTCCCGCACATGCCAAGCGGAGTGGCATAATTCTCCTTACTGTAAGATGAGGCTCTCTGGAAAGATCCAGTGAGTGCCCCAGTGAACAGGGGCAGCCCCGGGCTTTGCACCCAGGCTTTTGCCTCCAGATGAAGAGCTGTCACTCACAGCACAGGAAGCAGCAGGAGAATAATCAAGCCACAGTCTCCAGTTGGGACACCCGGCTGAGATCCAGATTTCTGCCTACACCAATGACAGAAGAAATCAGAATAAACGCGAGATCCTATGGGTTCGTGTGACGGTGGCATGGTGACTCACGCTTGATTGAGAAGACAAAACATAGACACTTTAAGGGCTTTTTGCACAAGTGAAGTGGTCGTGGAAATGTTTTCAAGGAGCAAATGCCTTTTTAATGGAGAAACTGACTTGGCTAGTTAGCAGAAGGTTTCTTTCTTGGGTTTAAAGTAGTCGCTGCTATTATATCCTGAAGCGTCCGGCTGTCCTGGTGGGGACATATGAGAGCTGCCACAGGCCTGGAATAGCCCAGGGGGATAAGAATAGCCCATAATAAGAGATGACTGCTGTTCGCTCTGCTGGTCACCGCAGTTGTCAGGAATGTTCTGCCTCAGGGGCAAAGGGCTTAGGGCCGTCTCAGCTTGCAGACAGAAAAACCCACCTCCTCCTCCTGGCTCAAACCTTTGCTTTCCATCTGCAGCTCACACCTTGAAGTCTCTGGAGTTAAAGGACATTGATCCCGGCAAGGATTGTTCCACCTCCTCGGAGAACATAGTCTCCTGCAGCCTCGAGCCTGTGACATTCTGGAAGCATGGAAGGCGCCGACGTGCTAGGCTTCCTCATCATCACGTTCAACTGCAACGTGACCGTGGTGGGTGAGTATGGGACCGTCTCCAAACTCCTGCTTGCTTTGTGTTTCCCTTGCCATGGTCCAACAGTCCTTCTTAAAGGGTCCAGGTATTTCCTCATTTTCAGTTTGCAGGCATCAAACTGAAAGTCCACCCACTCCCAAAAGAAAGGGCTTGTGCCTTTCTGGAGGAAAGAGAGCTGAGGCTTCTAGTTTCTTGGAATGGTTCTGTGGTTCCTCCGTCATGTAAGGGAGCCCTGGGTGTGACATGGTTCTCTCAGAGGCCTCCTGTGCTGACACCCAGGAGCTAAGTCTGAACACGAAAGCAGGGGGAGGGGGGTTTCTGTGCCACCCTGGCGTGGCTATGTTACCAGGAAAAGGAGCAGAATAGCACGTGGTAATGAGAAAGTGATGCCTTTAGGTTTTATACTAGAAGCTAAATTTTTTTTTTCTTTCAAACAGAGTCCCGCTCTGTTGCCCAGGCTGGAGTGCAGCGGAATGATCTTGGCTCACTGCAACCTCCAATCCACCTCCTGAGTTCAAGCGATTCTCCTGCGTCAGCCTCCTGAATAGCTGGGATTGTAGGTGTCTGCCACCATGACCGGCTAATTTTTGTATTTTAGTAGGGAGAGGGGTTTCACCATCTTGGCCAGACTGGTCTCGAACTCCTGACCTTGTGATCTGCCTGCCTCGGCCTCCCAAAGTGCTGGGATTACAGGTGTGAGCCACCGTGCCCGGCCAGCTTAATTTTTAAGGAGTAGCCATTTCTCTTCTGCTCCTTAAATCAAATCCCAAGTTTAGTTGTTTTTTAAACAAAGAAAAGAATAGATTTTTGTTTAATGCAGACTCACATTTTCAGAGAGGTATGGGGGTCAGAAAAGGATGAATAGAGGCTGGAGATGTGACTGATACTTTTCTTGCTCATTTATTTTGTAGATTTAGACAAAGTCAACTTGACGTTAAAAGTTCAACTCAGTGACTTCATCACATGATACTATTCTTTGATTGTCTTTATAATAGAGTTTTGTCTTTCTGACGTCAGGCGATGTTTCTCTATCTCATCGCAGAACACAATATTCACAAGTTATTTTTGGTGAGTATTAAACATGTTTCAAAACAGTTGGCCCACGGCACAAACACAGGGCTTGGTGGCTATTTTCGTTTCCTAGATTGGTATCATTCATTCCTGAAAAACTGAAGAAAGACGAGCCTCATTCATTCTTAGTAACCGGAAAAGGGGAAAATAAATTCTGAATTATTAAAAAATCTGAAAAATGGAACGTTCTTAAAGAAATTCAATTTCAAGGGCCATAGACTAACATTAAATACAAGCGCTGTGATTAAATAGAGTCCTGGACTGTTACCCTGAGTCAAGAGGATTTACTGAAATCAGCGGCTCGAATTGGCTACATGCAGTTACAGGAATATGCCCACCTCTTTTTAGAGGCTTATTCTCCAAAGAAGATAATTTAAATCTTATTTAAATTATTAATTTGCTCAGCCAAACTTTCTCTCTGGACCTGTCAGTCCAGGAGACATTACCAAAAGTGTGACTCAGCAGTCAGATTAAAACATTTTCAATATGATGCTTTTTAAAAATCTGCCCATCTGGAAGCATCTTACACACAAGAATAGAATGTTCTGTGCTCAATAAACGTTTGTCAGATGAACTAACTACCTGATACACTTGCTGTGAGTCGAGACAAGCTGCCAGGTGTGGGGGCTCATGCCTGTCATCCCAGCTACTCAGGAGGCCAAGGCGGCAGGAGCACTTGAGGCCAGGAGTTCAAGACCAGCCTGGGCAACAGAGCACGACGCAGTGTGTAACAGCAATAACGCAAACGAACCGAACACTAGCGACCCGCTCACTGGCTTCTCAGTTCCACTATCTCGGCCCCAGGAGAAACTCCAGAAGGGTTGCTCCAGGCGGTGTCCCGGGGCTGACCAGGCCGTGCCTGCTGCCTCTCTTCCAGGAAAGCTCTGGCTGGTCCTCACGCTGCTGCTGCGGATGCCGGTGATCGTCTTGGCGGGGCGCCCCGTCTACCAGGACGAGCAGGAGAGGTTCGTGTGCAACACGCTGCAGCCGGGCTGCGCCAACGTCTGCTACGACGCGTTCTCGCCGGTGTCCGCGCTGCGGTTCTGGCTGATCCAGGCCCTGTGCGTCCTGCTGCCCTCCGCCGTCTTCGGCGTCTACGTCCTGCACCGAGGAGCCGCGCTCGCCGCGCTGCGCCCCCGCCGCGGCCCCGAACCCCGCTGCCCCGGGCCCCGCGCGCCCGACTGCTCGGCCGGCTACGTGGCGCACCTGGTCCTGCGGACGCTGCTGGAGGCCGCGCTCGCGGCCCTGCACTACCTGCTCTTCGGCGTCCGGGCCCCGCGGAGCTTCCCGTGCGCGCGGCCGCCGTGCTCCGGCGTGGTGGACTGCTACGTGTCGCGGCCCACGGAGAAGGCCCTGCTGACGCTGTTCCTCTGGGCGGTCAGCGCGCTGTCCTTCCTGCTGGGCCTGGCCGACCTGGTGTGCAGCCTGCGGCGGCGGAGGCGCGGGAGGCCGGGACCCCGCGGGGGGACCCCGAGCGCCGCCCCCGGCCACGCGGAGGAGGGGGCGTGGGAGGAGGACGGGGGGCCCGCGCGCGCGGGTGCACGCGCCGCGGGGGAGGGGGCGGGCGGCCCCAGGGCTCCATCCCGCGGGTCGGGGCGCGCGGGGATTCCGCATGAGGACGAGAGCGAGGTGACGTCCTCCGCCAGCGAAGAGCCGGGCCGAGAGCCCCGGGGCAGGCCCCACCGAGAGGCCGCCCAGGACGCCGGCGGCTCGGGAGCGGAGGAGCCGCCCGCAGCAGCCCCCGGCCGCCTGGCCGCGCACCCCTCCCGCGGCCGCCTGCAGCCCCCCGACCCGCCTGCCGGCTCCGGCGCTGCTCCCCACCTGAGGGCCAGGAAGTCTGAGTGGGTGTGAAATGAACAGCACCCGGCCGTGCTCCCGGGCTCCCGCCTGTAAGCCCCACACTTTGGGAGGCCCAGGCAGGAGGATCGCTTGAGTCCACGAGTTTGAGACCAGCCTGGGCAACTTAGTGAGACCCTTGTCTCTACAAAATAACTAAACATTAGCTAGGCACAGTGGCTCCCGCCTGTAGTCCCAGCTACTAGGGAGGCTGAGGTGGGAGGACCATTTGAGCCTGGGAAGTGGAGGCTGCAGTGAGCCAAGATCTTCCTACTGCATTGGAGCCTGGGCAATAGCATGAGACCCTGTCTCAAAAAAAAAAAAAAAGCACCAAGCAGAGCTGAGAGAGCCCTGCTGTCCTTCACACACAGAATGCCCGTGCCAATGAACACTCACTTTGGCATCTGTGAAATCCTCACTCAGTGAAGGTCCTCAGGCAGAAGGGTGAGCTGGCCTGGGGACACATGGACCTTACAGGAGGTTCTGGTATATTCTCAGTACAGATTTAATTTAGATAATACTTTTTTTATTTTTTGAAAAAAGCATATGCCATTCAAATGCCCCAGCAAAACTAAAGTGAAGAAGTGGAGTCAGCTTTCTGACGATAGTGAGCTGGCTTGGCCCGCTACACTCCCGGTTCTAGTACCAAATTCTTTGCCATGTGTTTCATGCAAGGCACGTTTGCTTCCATTAGTATAATTTCTTCATGTTTAATATTTTCTAGTGAATTATCATGAGGTTTTTTTGTTTTGTTTTTCTGCTTTAGATGAAAGAAACATCTGTTACGCATGTCATAGAGAGACATTAAACTTTTCCAAACTCGTGAATACAATTGTATTAGTTGATTTTCACACTGCTATAGAGAAATACCAGAGACTGGGTAATTTATAAAGAAATAAAGGTTTAATGGACTCACAGTTGCACGTGGCTAGGGAGGCCTCACAATCACGGCAGAAGGTGAAGGAGGAACAGAGGCACGCCTTCCATGGCAGCAGGCGAAAGAGTGTGTGCAGAGGAACAACCCTTTATAAAACCATCAGATCTGGTGAGACTTACCATCACAAGAGCAGCACGGGAAAGACTGCCCCTGTGATTCAATTACCTCCACTGAGTCCCTCCCACGATTATGGGAGCTATAATTCAAGATGAGATTTGGGTGGGGACACAGCCAAACCGTAGCAAAATTTAATGCTGATTGCATTATAATACCACACTTCATACATCACTGTGATAGAGAGGAAATGACAAATACAGAGAATATGGCTAATAAACAGTTGGTTTTGGGGCATCTTGTAGTATTCCGGTATGTGGGTGTAAGGAGCACAGGATGTAGGGTGAGTTGTCCCTCTGTGTGTATGCTGGGTGGCTGTCCTCACCGTGTAGAGGGAGGATTTGTCACAAGTTTTGAAGTTGAGGCTTTGTGCCCTTTGGAGTCACACAGTTCAGACTACCCTGAGAATTTTCATATTTCAGTGGAGAAGAGAAAAACTGGGTATTGCAGCATGCACAGTCTACGTTTATGATTTTTGTGTAGCCACAGAAAACTCTCCCAGGTCTTGGGCTGGGCTTCCGATCCAGGCCTTTCTGCTCCGCTCAGCATCATTCTGGCTTTGATCTAGGTGATGTCCAAGTTCAGGTGTGACGTCCAAGTTTAGTGTTGGCCGAAAACGGGCAGGCGGGAGGATACAGTAGAGCGGAAGTTTGCTATGGGACAGGATGAACGGGCTCACCCTCATCAAGAGGGGAAAGAGGCACCGGGTCTAGTTAAAAAACTGATGACCGCCTCCTGGTTTCCAGATAGGGAAGGGCCGGGAAGAGGCACCATCCTTCACTCCAGCAAACAACAGAAAAGATGAACCAGTGCCTCATCAAAACAATGGGCACTTTTGACGTTTCTAAAGACCGTGACGATGAAATGTCCTCAAGCACGGAGAACACCAGCCTGCCTGACGTCTCTGCAGGATGTCAAGGCAATTGGTTCAAACATTTAACAAAAATCCCAAATTGGTTTTGGCATAAGGCTATCTGAATGAATGTGCCTATTTTAATATATTCTCTCTCTCTCTCTCTCTCTCCCTCTCTCCCCTCTCTCTCACTTTTGCTCCTTAAGCCACTGGAAGCTGTGAGCCCTGCCTCTGACCCCTGTCTTCAATGTTTAGGTCAATGTCTGGCACACAGTGGCTGCTCAAGGAATGTGTGGTTTTTTTTTCATCTTTTTCTTCTTTATTTCTTTCCTTCTTTCTTTCTTTTTCTTTCTTTCTTCTTTCTTTCCTGTTTGCCTCTTTCTTTTCTCCTGATCTTCCTTCTTTCTGTGTTTGAGGCAGGAACTTGCTCTGTCACCCAGGCCGGAGTGCAGTGGCACGACCATGGTTCGCTGCATGAGCTCCCTCTGGGAGAGGGCGGGTAAGGGGCCCAGGAGAAGAGATCCAGGCTCTGGCCTCCTGCCTGCCGGTGCTCGCCAAGTTGCCAAGTCGGTCTCTCTCCCCGGGCCTTTGCGTTCTCCTCTGCACGACCAGGGGCCCTGACCAGGGCATTCCTCAGTGCTCTGCGAGGGTCAGACTCTGCTAGTGAGAGGTGCAGCTGTCAGTCATCTTAGCATTTACGAGGCCTGTCCTGCTACCTGCCTGCATGCAGGTTTTGATCAGATGAACATGGCAAGAACAGTAGAGGCCTGCATGTCCTTAGGGGAGCTGCCATGGTGAGGATGCGGAGAAAAGGGGACCCTCATTCTCTCTTGTGCACTCTGGGTGGGAATGTAAATTAGTTTAACCACTATGGAGAATAGCATGGAGGTTGCTTGAGTCCGGGAGATCAAGACCCGCCCGGGCAACACCGCCAGAACCCAGCTCCAAAACCACACAAAGCAAAACAACTAAAGTAAAAATAGAGATGGAGGATCCAGCAATCCCACTGCTGGGTATGTATGCCAAAGAGAAGAAGCCAGCCTATCAAAGACAGAGCTGCACGCCCACGTTTGTTGTAACACTAGTCATGGTAGCAAAGATCAGGAAGCAACCTCAGGGTCCATCGGGGGAGGAATGGGTAAAGAAAATGTGGTTTAGATGCAGAATGGAGTGTTATCCAGACAAAAAGGATGCAATCTGGTTACCGGCAGCAACACGGTCGGACCTGGAGGACATTATTTTATGCGAAATGAGCCAGGCACAGAAAGACAAATGTCACAGATTCTCACTCCTATCTGGGAGCTGAAGAACTGGGTCTTGTGGAGGATGAAGAGAGGAGAATGGGGGTCACCAGAGAAGAGGAAGGTGAGGGGACCTGAAGGGGAAAAGAAAGAATACAAATGCACTTACTACCACCAAGCTGTACACGGAACAGTGATAAAGATGGCAGATTACGTCTGTCTGTTTCACTGCAATGAAAATAAATTTTAAAAAAAGAACAGCTGATATGGAAGAGAGACAGAGCCTGTGCAGACTGGGGGCAGATGGTCCAAGGCCGAGTCCTCAGCTTCATACTCTACTGAGTGATGGCTGAGCTGAGTGGACAGAGCTGGGGGCCATGGGGGACGTCTGATGGGACCCTGTCCTGTGATGAGCAAGGTGGCAGAAGAGGCATTGCCTGTCCGAGAACCGGGTTGGCCTTGCTCGTGTGACAGTGACTGCATCGTGGAAAGAGCCGATGCAGGCGTCCCTCTTTCTCTCCTCTTTGCTGTCGCACTGGGTGCTGACGATCTCTCCTGGTTTTGTAACTTAGGTTGTGAAGCCTTAAAGATTTTTTCCAGTCCATGGCCAGGTGTGGTGGCTCACACCTGTAATTTCATCACTTTAGGAGGCCAGGAAGATGGATCACTTGAGGTCAGCGGTTTGAGACCAGCCTGGCCAACATGCTGAAACCCCATCTTTACTAAAAATACAAAAATTAGCTGGGTGTAGTGATGGGTGCCTGTAATTCTAGCTACTCAGAAGGCTGAGGCAGGAGAATTGCTTGAACTTGAGAGGCAGAGGTTGCAGTGAGCTGAGATCGCACCATTGCACTCCAGCCTGGGCCACAGAGTGTGACTCCATCTCAAAATAAACCAAAAATACCCACAAAAACTCTTTCCAAGTCCTTTAACGGGAGAGGGGAACAAATCTTAGACTATATTCAAAAGGTTAAAAAGAAGTAGAAAATCATGTGGCTTCCATCTTCCTTTCCAGACTTCAACCTGTGTCTTTGCATGTGGCACACTGGATGACTGAAAGATGGCTCACGGGGCTGCACGCCTCCCACAGACGGTTAAGGAGGATCCTATGGCCTACGGCAGAGACAGTGTGCAAGTTAACGTAACTGCAGCTGCAGTAACAGGCAAACCCTAATTTTAGCCACGAAATGCAGAAGAAGCCTCATTGGGTACAAAGCGTCTGTTGCTGACGTGAGCAGCTCTGCTCCAGGTGGTGACTCAGGGACCCCTCCATCCTGTGGCTCCAACATCTCCTGCCCACATTACTGATTGCTTGTGGGGAGGACAAGAGGGGCTCCCTAGGCCTCACCAGTTACATGGCACTGGCATGTTATCTAACCAGAACTTAGTCCCAGCTGCAAGGCAAGCCATGAAAGGTGACTTAGCTATGCGCCCAGAAAGAAGGAGGAAAAGTTGGGGTGAACGGGTAGCCAATGCTTGCCTAAGGCAGCAACTATTTTCTGGGCACCTGCCCCGTAAGAGGAATTTAATAAATCCTGTGACCAACGAACTGGTTGGTGTTGAGGGCAAGCTAAGCAGGGCCATTGGCTCAGGTCCTAGATGGTGGTGGAGAGAAGAGACGGGAGATGACAAGGGACGAAGATGACTGACTGAATCAGGCACAGAACCCCGATCTCCCATACTGAGGGACTGTCCTCTTAATTACAATCATTTTAAATAAGAAGGGATCTTAACTGGTTTAAGTGTGTGCATGTGTGGGTTTTAGTCGCGCTCTTTGGTCTTGGCACAGCACAAAAGGCTCATGAGATCATTGGCATCTAACCTTCCAGGGACTTTAATTCCGAAATCTCCTCCCGGGGCAATCGGCAGG